AAAAAAAAAAAATTAAGTCAAGTGAAAGTGATCTTTTTTGAAACCAATTTTTTACTCGCAGAGCTTTTTTCCCCAAAGTTATTCCTTTTCACAGAAAATACACTAGCTTGCCAAATGCCAGGCTGGGACGGAACTAGAGGCGGTATGTGGCCGAGCCGCGTGTAGACAAGGGCTCCGTCTCCCAGGCGACTCCGTCCCGCAGCGCCTACCGAGCCGAGGGCGCCTGGTTTGCCATTTGGCAGGAGCTTGACAGGGCGCTGGGGGTCTGTGGCTCGGAAGCTGGGAAGCCCTCCTCCCGCTGGAGGCGGGTGCGCCCTCCTTTCGCGACACTTTCCGAATGGGACGGAGGTTCGTAGGTCGCGGAGCGCTGTGGCCGCCGCGGGGGACCTGAGGGGCCGCCCTCCCACCGGGCCCGGCGCCCCAGCCCAGGCCGCACCTGCCTGTCCGCCGTCGCCGCTTCCGGGCCTCTGGCGCCCGTAGCAACGGGACACAGGGCGGTTGCCACAGGGAACTGTCGCCACCGGGCGCGCGCGCCCAGCACGTTAATTTGGCCCCGGACTGGCCCCCGTAAGCAGGCTCCTACTTCCGCCCCCTGACGCCCCGCCCCTCACGCCCCGCCCCCACAGCCAGATGGGGCAATCGCGGCGACCGCGCCGAGACGACGCGGGCCTCGCACACAATCGGAGGACCGAGCACGGCAAGTGGCCCTCACGCGCTTCCGTCGCCCGGGAGGAAGGGGCGTGGCGGCGCCTGCGCACGGCCCCGGGTGCCGACTCGCGGCGCGTGGAGGGCTCTGAGCCACGCGCTTGCCTGCGATCCCGGCGGCTGCAGCGGCGCCCCGTGCTCGCGGGTCATGTCGTGGCTCTTCGGCATCAAGGGCCCCAAGGGCGAAGGCGCGGGGCCGCCGCTGTCCCTGCCGCCCGCGCAGCCCGGGGCCGACGGCGGCGGGGACCGCGGTGCGGGGGACCGGCCGGCGCCCAAGGACAAATGGAGCAACTTCGATCCGACGGGCCTCGAGCGCGCGGCCAAGGCGGCGCGGGAGCTGGAGCACTCGCGTGAGTGCGGAGCCCGGGGCGGCGGGCGGCGAGGGGCAGTGCTGCTGGTCGGGCGAGGAAACTGGTCTGCGGGGAAAACCTGGCCAAAGCCGCCCTGCGTGCGGGAAGAGTCGTGATCCTTTCCCCATCTGGTATTTTCCCAGCTGCCATGCGTCTTTCAGATGAAAAAATCAGTACGGAGGGGACTTTCAGAGGCTGCAGGTAGTCCGTGCCGGGGCTGCACCTGGGTCTTCAGTTACCGCCCTAGGCAGGAGCTCCTTCCGCCTCTTGCTGTTTCCACGTGGAACGGCCAAGACGTGGCCAGATCGGAGAGCCCTGTGTGGTGGTTGCGTAGAAGGGAAGCGTTCTTGAGGGTAATTGGTTTTGAGGAAAACAGAACATTTGCATCTATTGCTGGAAAAAGATAGCGTTCACGTGGGCAAGGTGTGTAGATCAACAGCCCCAGGGCCAGTCCCATGACCTTCCTGACCCAGGGACTTCAAGGCATCAGCAGCCACTGGATCTTCACGAGGCCCACGTTTTTCCTCCCAACTTTACTCCCACCTGTGGCTTTAACTGTTTGTCTCTTGTTCAAGAACCTGGAATGTGGAAGATGCTGAATAAATGTTGGTTGAAATACAATGGTTCTTCAACTTTTGTTCAAGTGGAGTTGCCTTTCCTTAAAAGGAGACTATAGGGAAGCCTTATTGTAAACAGGCGTCAGCAGTCTTCCTTCATAAGGAGGGAGAGAGCCACTGTGTGGCTCAATCCCTGCACTTCCCCAGGGGCTACAGTAGTACCCCGGGCAAAGGTCCTGGCCTGCCTGGCTCTCAGATCCCCAGAGGGACAATCAAAATGTGTGGATAAATGGGCCCCCAGAGGGACAATCAAAACTTGTAGACAACCTGTTTCCTTAGGTCTAGCAGGAACACCTCCCACCTCGGATTGGTGAATTAAGTTTGCAAGATGTCAATCGTCAGGTTGCATTAAGACAATGGCTGGGCTTCAAGGTACCTCAGATGACGGACTTTTGACACGTGATCTGATTTCATGTAAAAAGCTTAGTTGGGGGACACCTTTCTGTCCCAGCTCTTGTGGGGTTTCACCCACTTACCGTGCCCATCATTTCAGTTTTCCCACTTTGGGAAGTTGAATCCTGACTGCCACCCCCCGAAACCCCAGCCCACGCAGTTATACAGGCCTGTGTAAAGACCTGGAGTACGTTTGAGGGGAGCAGCTTGAGGGGGTCTCTCCTCCCTATGGGTTCATGCCTCTGAGCTGCTCCCAAGTCTCCTGCACTGGCTTCCCAGAGTTCCAGCCCCAGAACATTCTCTGCCTGGGTCCCCAGGGCCTTGGCCTCCACTTCCCCAGGACCAAGCAGCATCTGCAGAGTCTCTGGGGGCCCCTGCTGGAGGTATGGGTTCCCCAGCAGCTCTCCACATCCAGTGGTTTTGTCCACCTGTGGACTCTACTTGGTCTTGCCGCTGCCCTCCTTGGCCTCACTACTGGGAGGGGTTTTGCCCTGGTCTCCCACGCCTGCCTGGTAGCCCCTCTGCAAGCCCTCCTCCTGTGCCCCCAGTTCACAAGCAGCCGCGCCTCCCTGGCTGGCCTGAGCCTGCTCTTGTTTGACCTCACTGCTGTCTCCCATCTGCTCCTTGCAGTGTGACTGCCTTCTCTGTCCCTCAGGGCCCAGCCCAGGGCTACCTCGTTCCCCAGGTCTCCCTGGCCCTCCTGGGAGGCCAGAGCAGCACATTTGGCCTTGAGCTGCCTGTGTGCTCCATCCAGTCCATTACCTGTATACTCCGTGGAAGGTGGGCCCCTAAAACAACACTGTGCCTGTAGGAGGTGCTGGGTGATGCTTGGGGATGAATGTGCAGGATGACTCAAAGGTGATGAGTTTAGTGCTGTGTTGAAGTCGTAGTTTGTGTTCACGGGGCTGGGGGCTGCCAGGCTGTGTTGAGTGCCTGGCCTGTTCNGCTGTGGGCCCATCGAGGCCCTTAGGTGACCTTGGGAAAACACTTACAGCCCTTGAATCCCTCAGTGCGGATTGTGGTGAGGGGGCCCCGTCTGTGCGTGTGCTCACCAGCACAGTGGGTGCAGCTGGGTAGCTTGTTCAGGGACCCAGTGCACAGGGAGGTCTGGGTGCAGACACTGGCCTAGCCCCCCCGCCCATCCCCACCCATCCAGCTGAGCTGAGCCCCCGCTGCTCCCCCTCCATAGCGGGCCCAGTACCAGGACAAGCTGGCTCGGCAGCGCTATGAGGACCAGCTGAAGCAGCAGGTGAGCTTGGGGCTTCCGCCCTCCCTGAGAGCAGGGCGCCTGAGGTCTTGGGAGATGGCGGCCTGGCCCAGGGCTGTGAGCACTGGGTCCTGGTGGGGCTGCAGGCACATGCACAGGGCCCTCGGGCCTGCAGGCTCCTGCCACATGGTGCCAAGTAGGCTGTGCAGCAGAGCAGCTCCAGTGGCTTGGGGTTCTCCCGGGTTTGTGGGGACTTTAAAATGCCTGTGCCCATTGGGGTTATTGGCGTCATAGCTTTTACATTTAATGGGCAAATTTAACAAAGCAGGGTTTTGTGAGGACAGCCATGAGTCCGCTGAGCTGGTGGGGCCCCCGAGCCTGGTTCCTGGGGCACACGGTTCCCAGGATAGACGCAGACCTGGCTGTGCAGTACGTGCCCCTGAGAAAGGCAGAGCCCTCGGGCTGGGGAAGCTTCCCCTGGCCAGAGCAGCGACCTCTCAGGTTGATGTTGAGTGTTTCCCAGTTTTGAAAGCTTTTCCTTTTTTTTTATATCCTCAGCAACTTCTTAACGAGGAGAATTTACGGAAGCAGGAGGAGTCTGTGCAGAAGCAGGAGGCCATGCGGCAAGGTGGCTTCCGCTCTGCCCGGGGCTGCTTGCGGGGCTGTGTCCGTGGGGGGCGCGCCCAGGCTGGGCGGGCGAGGAGGGCACGCAGGGCCAGCTGCCACGGGGGGGGCACAGCGGCTTCAGGCGCTTGGGTCCTCAGGCGGCGTGGACGCGGTCTGCTTCCCAGGGCCCGTGACAGGCTCGGCCTCATCTGCAGTGTCAGCTCCTCCGCAGGGCTGTCCTGTGGGCAGAGTTCCTGGGCCTCACTGGAGGGGGGCCGCGGCGTGCGGCTGAACCCTCCTGCCTTTCCTGGCAGCCACCATGGAGCGGGAGATGGAGCTGCGGCACAAGAATGAGATGCTGCGGGTCGAGGCTGAGGCGCGCGCCCGGGCCAAGGCTGAGCGTGAGAATGCGGACATTACCCGTGAGCAGATCCGCCTGAAGGCTGCTGAGCACCGCCAGACCATCCTGGAGTCCATCAGGTCAGGAGGCGTGACCCGGGGGCCCCGCGGCACCCCCTCATCAGCGCACGGCAGTCCTTGTAGCTGGACCCCGAGTGACCTCTCTGAGCCCTTGCCCTTTCTGCAGCCGGGCTCCCAGGGCCATTTCCTTCCCCATGACATTGCTGCTTCCTCCACAGGATGGCTGGCACCCTGTTTGGTGAAGGATTCCGTGCCTTTGTGACAGACTGGGACAAAGTGACAGCCACGGTAAGTGCCACTTCCTCCCATGCAGGCTGCATTGCCCAGCCTCCTGCAGCAGGAGGGATCTGCTCTTATGTCATCACGGCCGCATTTGAGAGGCCTGGTGCTGAGGTGTTCAGCTAAGAGAGTGCCGGCAGCCGGCTTCCTCTCATGACACTTGCATGTCAACAGATGCAAGTCCCACTTTAGGAACAAGAGCCACAGGAGGCTGACACGCGTGTTCCTAGCACATCTGTGACAAGTGTTGCCCTGTGCATGTTGGCTTGTTTCTGATTTAATTTATGATTGCTTCTCATTCATCCTTTTGCTTGCAAGTGCCGAACAGCAGACCAATATATCAGAGGCTTAAGAGCAGCGTGCGTGCCATAAACACAAAGGGTACTCTAGTCACAGACTTGCTCTCCGTTAAACTGGGAAACTGATGCCACATTGACCCTTCTCTCAACGGGAGAGACAGCTTTTCTGATAAATTCCTGTGGAATGTGACAGTCCTCTGGGGGATAAGACCTTGTGTGCTAGATGACAAGAAGGCGACAGTGGCCTTGGGATGGAGGGGTCAGCAAGCAGGGTCTGACCAGGACTGAGGGTGGGTACGTGTGCTTTAGGGTTGAGGTGAGCTGGTCTCCCCAAAAGCTCCTTGGCGCAGGGGCACCTCCCGCCCATCTCGAGGCTGTCCTCACGCCGCTTCCTCCCACGCCCTGCAGGACATGCCAAGGAGGCGCTGAGTCTCGCACAGATGCAGGAGCAGACGCTGCAGCTGGAGCAGCAGTCCAAGCTCAAGGTGAGCGGTGGGTGTGGCACTGGCCGAGCTGTGCCACGCTCCCGTGGACCCCAGTGGGTGCCGGGCACGTGCTCAGGTGCCTCCTGAGGCTTCCCTCTCCCTTCATGGTCCAGGGAAGCCAGGAGAGTTCGAGGACAGGCAGTGGGCTGTGGCCTGAGTTCCTGCAGCAGAACCACCTGGAGGGCAGATGCGGGCAAGGATGTCCTGGGCTTCCCAGGACAAGTTCTCACCTGGCGTCTTTTGCCGAGCACATAACAAATGTTGGAAAGACAGAGGCCCTGTCCCCCCGGACTGGCTGTTGTAAAGTGCAGCCAGAAAGTGAGCACGTGTTATAAGCCACGGGGAGCTAGTGTCAGGGCAGGTGGGGACCGGCATGCTCTGGAGCCCGGCCCAGTCCGTCTGCCTGTCGTCAGTCCTTCTGGGTCTTGGTGTGGTGTGGGTGCCACAGACAGCGATGGGCCTTGGGGGCTGGCTGGTTCAGAGGGCCGTCTGGCCGCTGTGGAGCCCACTCAGGATGCAGGACAAGCCCCAGGGCCTGCGTAGGACCTTGCAGGCTCTGGGCCGGCAGCTGCGGGTGTGCTTGGCAGGAGTACGAGGCTGCTGTGGAGCAGCTGAAGAGCGAGCAGATCCGTGTGCAGGCCGAGGAGAGGAGGAAGACCCTGGGTGAGGAGACCCGGCAGCACCAAGCTGTGAGTGACGCCCGGCCCCCAGGCCTGGGGGGGCCCGAGCAACCAGGACACACTGTGACCCCAGAGCCACCTGGGTCTGCTGTGGGCCCATCGAGGCCCTTAGGTGACCTTGGGAAAACACTTACAGCCCTTGAATCCCTCAGTGCGGATTGTGGTGAGGGGGCCCCGTCTGTGCGTGTGCTCACCAGCACAGTGGGTGCAGCTGGGTAGCTTGTTCAGGGTCCCAGTGCACAGGGAGGTCTGGGTGCAGACACTGGCCTAGCCCCCCCGCCCATCCCCACCCATCCAGCTGAGCTGAGCCCCCGCTGCTCCCCCTCCATAGCGGGCCCAGTACCAGGACAAGCTGGCTCGGCAGCGCTATGAGGACCAGCTGAAGCAGCAGGTGAGCTTGGGGCCTCCGCCCTCCCTGAGAGCAGGGCGCCTGAGGTCTTGGGAGATGGCGGCCTGGCTCAGGGCTGTGAGCACTGGGTCTTGGTGGGGCTGCAGGCACATGCACGGGGCCCTCGGGCCTGCAGGCTCCTGCCACATGGTGCCAAGTAGGCTGTGCAGCAGAGCAGCTCCAGTGGCTTGGGGTTCTCCCGGGTTTGTGGGGACTTTAAAATGCCTGTGCCCATTGGGGTTATTGGCGTCATAGCTTTTACATTTAATGGGCAAATTTAACAAAGCAGGGTTTTGTGAGGACAGCCATGAGTCCGCTGAGCTGGTGGGGCCCCCGAGCCTGGTTCCTGGGGCACACGGTTCCCAGGATAGACGCAGACCTGGCTGTGCAGTACGTGCCCCTGAGAAAGGCAGAGCCCTCGGGCTGGGGAAGCTTCCCCTGGCCAGAGCAGCGACCTCTCAGGTTGATGTTGAGTGTTTCCCAGTTTTGAAAGCTTTTCCTTTTTTTTTATATCCTCAGCAACTTCTTAACGAGGAGAATTTACGGAAGCAGGAGGAGTCTGTGCAGAAGCAGGAGGCCATGCGGCAAGGTGGCTTCCGCTCTGCCCGGGGCTGCTTGCGGGGCTGTGTCCGTGGGGGGCGCGCCCAGGCTGGGCGGGCGAGGAGGGCACGCAGGGCCAGCTGCCACGGGGGGGGCACAGCGGCTTCAGGCGCTTGGGTCCTCAGGCGGCGTGGACGCGGTCTGCTTCCCAGGGCCCGTGACAGGCTCGGCCTCATCTGCAGTGTCAGCTCCTCCGCAGGGCTGTCCTGTGGGCAGAGTTCCTGGGCCTCACTGGAGGGGGGCCGCGGCGTGCGGCTGAACCCTCCTGCCTTTCCTGGCAGCCACCATGGAGCGGGAGATGGAGCTGCGGCACAAGAATGAGATGCTGCGGGTCGAGGCTGAGGCGCGCGCCCGGGCCAAGGCTGAGCGTGAGAATGCGGACATTACCCGTGAGCAGATCCGCCTGAAGGCTGCTGAGCACCGCCAGACCATCCTGGAGTCCATCAGGTCAGGAGGCGTGACCCGGGGGCCCCGCGGCACCCCCTCATCAGCGCACGGCAGTCCTTGTAGCTGGACCCCGAGTGACCTCTCTGAGCCCTTGCCCTTTCTGCAGCCGGGCTCCCAGGGCCATTTCCTTCCCCATGACATTGCTGCTTCCTCCACAGGATGGCTGGCACCCTGTTTGGTGAAGGATTCCGTGCCTTTGTGACAGACTGGGACAAAGTGACAGCCACGGTAAGTGCCACTTCCTCCCATGCAGGCTGCATTGCCCAGCCTCCTGCAGCAGGAGGGCCCCTGGCTAGCAACGGGAAGCATGCTGAGCAGGCTGCTCCCCTCTCCTGAGAGCACGAGATGTGCCATGGGCTCTGGCCATGGCGGGGATGAGGGTTCCGGGTTTTCCGCCCGAGCCGGAAGGCATGGGAAAGGGGCTAGGGCTTGGGGTTCCAGTTTCCATCTCCCTTGCATGTGACTCCCTTTGGAAAGTGTAACTAGACCAGCAGCTTGGACATGTGCCAGGCTGATTCTAGGCATCAGGAGGTGTGGTGGGCTTCTCTGAGGGTCCCCACCCTCCAGCGGGAAACAGAAGCTAGCCAGCCCATTGAGGCTGCAGGGCTCCAGGCATGCACCCTAAGAGCCCAGCAGTGTGCCTTGTCATGGCCACTCAGCACTTGGGGTGCAACTGGTTACTGAAAAGACGCCACTCCACAAATACCTCCTGGGTGTTGGTGCTGTGCCAGCCACCGTTCTGGGCCCAGGAGCAAGACTCAACCCTTGCTTGCAAGGGACCGACCCTGAGGAGGGGTCAGATGGTAAACATGCTGATCCTCAGCACCACAGGCCACGTAGCAAGGATGTGGAGCTGTTGTCCCCGTGCCTTTGCTGGCTCCTGGAGCCCTGCCCCAAACATTTAGATGTGGTTCTAGCCTTGTGAGATGGGGGTGGCAGGTGAGGGCAGGCCAGCCCTGAGCAAGCAGGGAGTGGACCCTCCTGGAGGCCGGGACTGCAGTCGCCATAGCTCGCGGCTGGTCACACTGCTGGTTCTGAGTGGCCCCCACAGTTGCCCAGCTTTGTCCAGGACATGGGTGCAGGATGCACAGGGCTCCTGGCATGTTCTTCCCAAGTATGTTGCTGCCCTTGGAGCCTCAGGTCAGTAGTGGAGGCCCTGGGGAAATCAGGCCCAGGTTCCTGGGAGGCCCTGACTGAGGCCTGCGCTGCCTGGAGTTGGTGCTGGGTCTTGAGCCCGGCCCTCTCCTGCCATCCCTCCATTCCCTACCTCAGGCAGCGAGCCTGCAGGGTCCGGTGTTCAGGTGAAGAGAACAGCTTCCTCTAATGACCCCGTCCTGCCTCCCCGGTGCCCCACCCAGCCCAGCAAGAGTTTTTGTGGGAGGGAAACTGGCCCTGGGTCAAGGCTGTACTGTGGCAGCCACAGTTCAGCCCCTTGTGTTCTGAGTGGATCGGGGTGAGATGCATGCCCATTCTGAGTGAGCAGAGCCGATGTGGGGGCACCGCACACTTGCCCCCTGCTGGACCCCCTCCCCGCCCACCCCGAGTTGCCTGCACTGCCCTCAGCGCCCTCACCCAGCAGCACAAGGCTCTCATGACAAGCTGCGGGTGCTGCCCAGGGACACGGGCTGGGGGGGTCTGTGTGCGTCGCTGCTAATCGGCACTGGGGGAGCTGTCACGTGCTGGGACCGGACTGCGCAGCATGCTGACCAGGTAGTTGTGGGTTTTTTTTCTTGAATCAGTTCTATAGTGGAGATTAATCATGGCTTTTTTTTTTTTTGGTATTATTAACGTACAATTACATGAACAACATTATGTTTACTAGACTCCCCCCATCACCAAGTCCCCCCCACATACCCCATTACAGTCACTGTCCATCAGCATAGTAAGATGCTGTAGAATCACCATTTGTCTTCTCTGTGTTGTACAGCCCTCCCCGTGCCCCCAACGCCTACATTATGTCTGCTAATAGTAATGTCCCCTTTTTTCCCCTTATCCCTCGCTTCCCACCCATCCTCCCCAGTCCCTTTCCCTTTGGTAACTGTTAGTCCATTCTTGGGTTCTGTGAGTCTGCTGCTGTTTTGTTCCTTCAGTTTTTCTTCGTTCTTATACTGCACATATGAAGGAAATCATTTGGTATTTCTCTTTCTCTGCCTGGCTTATTTCACTGAG